TTTTTTTTTTCTTTTCTCTTTGGTGGGTGGTTTGTATTTATCGGTTTCCACCTTCCCCTCGCCCCCTCACTCACAGTGGATTTTCTTAAAAAGCACGCTGGAGGTGGTGGAATCGGGAGACCTTTCGAGGGGTTGGTTGGGTTTTTCAAGTCTGAGGGGTTTATGAAGGTGCTGAGTGAGATATCAGACAGGAGTTTCTTTGACTCCCACCACCACTACTACCACCAGCATCAACAAAAGCCACCCTTCTCAGCCCCAGATAGATATATTAGCATTGCTCCCCGGCTGCGCCGTCCAGCTTTTGGAGAATCTGTGTGAGAGAATTTGTGTGTGAAAGTCTGTTTTGCTGGCTTTGTGCTGCTCCTGAATCAGCTTTCATTTGGTTCACCGGTAAGTGACAGGCAGACACAAAGGCAGAAGCAATCAAAGGGGAAGGGGGGAGGGGGAGACAGAAAGGTGGGGGGAAGGGGGAGGCAGAAGAAGATTGTAGAGTTTGAAACTGCAAGGTCAGGGGCACTGAAGGAAATGAAACCCAATCCTAGGGGAGAAAGAGAGAAGTAGAAAGAAGATTTGTAGCAGGCCCTTCCTTTTTTTTTTTCCTCCCCCCCCCCCCAATCTGAAACACAGTTGGTCATCTTCCCGAATCTTTTTACTGGGACCATTCCCCTGGTGTTGCTAAGAAAATTGTGTTAATATGATTGTAGAGTTCGGAACCTCTAATAAGGAAAAAAAAAAAAAGTATGCTGGATAGTCTAGTGGAGAAGGTTCAAAACCACTTAGCTATTTTTAAAAATCATTTGGCTACAAGGATTTGTTTTCATTAACATTTCAGTACTCTCCTCAATCAGTGCTTGAGACTTAGTTAAAAAAAAAAAAAAAGTGACCTCTTCTCCCATACCCCAATTACTGAAAATTTAGTAAGTCATTTTCACATGTGCCCCTGTGTAAGTCAAACACTGTTGAGAATAGCCTGGCAGGGTACTCTAACATGCACCTACCGATTTAAAACCCCAAGTCACATTTCTTTTCCCTTCATGGCTGGCATGCAAATGACAAATCTACTCGCACTAAACAATGAATGGTCTAGGAAGGAGGCAAGGAAGACCAGGGTCCCTGTGCAATTTTTTGACCAGAACATTGGGAATAGCCTAGAAGAAGAGACATTGTCTTTAGCCCAGAAGAAAAAGGGGAACCAGTGGGTATTGTTTACCGGCTAATGAGGCCATTACATTTACATTTTAATGGCAGGTTGAAATACTGCAAAGGATGGGGGAGGGGTGGGTTTCTAGTGTATTTGCTTGTGTATTTCATGGGGGCACTTTCACTGGGGCTGTGAATTATAAAACAAGAAAGACTATTGGCAAAAGTCATTCAGACCAAAGGTGTTAATGATTGTGGGTCAGAGTGTTAAACTGAAGTTTGAAAGGTACTGCTCAGATTCTGATCAGAAGGTAAAGTAATTAACACACAAGCACTTAAATACACAAAGGTGCTTGTCCAGGCTATTTCACTTGTAAGTCCTTCTATTATGATCTCCAAGAAATGGGTAAATTCTGCTAAAACAATGACTGACATCTGTACAGAAGATTTTCTTAGATTAAAGCGGTGGGAGCAGTTCATATCTACAGAAGATAAACAGAACTTAAGGGGGGGGGGGGGGGAGAACCTTTTTAAACCCAGCAGAATTTAATTGTAATTTAGGACTTCAGAGACTGATTTTAAAAACAAACAACCATACCAGTTAGAAGAAGTAAAGACAGCTTCTTTGGTTTTAGCATTGCTATTAGTAACATGCCCTTTGCAGAGGAAAACTATGGCTAATTACTACAATGAAATTTATAAGCTTCCTAAATTCCTAAAACTTGGTGGTTCCTTCAGTCTTGAGACATACCTGCAATTTTCTTGGAGAACTTTTCAATTGTTGTGGAACTTTCCCTCCACTTGGCTTATTAATAATAGATTCTTTATTCTGAAACGAAAAGGATAAATGCACAACCATCTGGTTTGGATAAATTTGGGTCTGGACATCTGGATTTGCTCCTGTCCTGTCATCAAAGTCAGATTTCCTTGTTATTTTATGCAGCTCATTTCATGCTGAAAGCATTTACTAATTGATCCTGGATAAGGTGCCCCTTAGAGAGAGAGAGAGAGAGAGAGAGAGAGAGATCTCAAATATTTTGGACAAAATATTCACACTTTGTGTTTTGTATGGTAAGAATTAATAAATTATTCAAACCAGCATAGACAAAATAACCTATCCATAGGAAACATTACCTCAGTTGGCCCCTTTCAAAGTGGATGCAGAACAGTTGTCCTTTACGTGTTACCAAAAAAAAAAAAAAAATAAGATCAATAGAGTTAGTATTATTCCATGTGAAAAACTGTTGAGAAAATTTAGTTTTTTTATGACAAGGGAGGAGCAGTTAACAAGAGGTCACCTTGTAACTAGAACTTTGCTGTGTATTACATTTTTGTTGACCTGATTGCTAATATGTAATATCAATGAACTATGGTAAGAGAAGTCACACTTGCTTGGCTCATTTGAAAATTGTCCAGATTTGTTTAGCCATTTTAGCAGGGTCTGGTATTTTGTTGTCGCCTGTCCTAGAACCAGAGGAAACCTGTTATTTTGATGGGAGTAGGGTCATGGTCCTAGCTATTATGCCAACATTACTTAAAGAACTAGGAACGTGCACCTGCTGAGGAGTTTTTATGACAGATTTCCAAGGTCCGTTGTTGGCACTGGGACTGCATTATGAAAGAAATAGGTCATTTAAATGTTTTGGTTTCAGTTGTGCATGGTAGAATTCCTCTACCTATCCTGCCAAACCTAATTTCTATGTTGTAATTCACATGTCAGTATTGTAGGAGTACCCCCCCTTCCTTTTTTATCTGTCTTCATTACAAAGATACTTAGACAATCGTGTATTTCAAGTATTTCCAACTAGCAAAATGTCAAAATTTCTAGGAAACACTGCATCCTGAAAGGTAGCAACCATAGTTTTCATTCAAAAAGCTCTTCACTTTACACACATTATCTCATTTGATCCTAAGGTGAGGCTGGTATTAATATCCCTACTTTACAAATGAAGAAGCTGGGACTCAGAGATGTCACAACTTGGCCCAAAACACAGATATCACAAAAAATTGTAGAAGCTCTGAGCTGGAAAGGATTTTAAAGAGTATCTAATCCATTTCTCCACCAACCAATTTGGACAAAATATTCACACTTTGTGTTTTATATGGTAAGAATTAATAAATCATCCAAACCAGCATAGACAAAATAACCTATCCATAGGAACCCAGAGACCCAGGAACCCAGGCCACACAAATGGCATTGGGTTTGAACTTGAGTCTTCTGACTACCACTTGTATGCCCTTTCAACTCTCCTAAGTTTCTTCTCAGTTCAATGTCCAAACAGCTGTCATCTTCAGGGCTAGAACTGTCTCACTCCAAGCCCAGGGCTCTTTCCACCATATCAGCCAACCTGATATTTCAAAGTAGGATCATCAGAGAGTACTGATACTGATAGCCTCAGAAACACTTTTTTTGAGATGGTGAAGTTGATAGATTCTTTTCTTTAATTTTTTTTTGTTTCTATTTAAGTGTTCAATGTTAATTTCTTTGAATAGAGCTTATCCAGCTATCTACATTTTAAGTAATAAACTTCTTCATTTTGTCAGGAAGGAAAACAACATGTTAAACAGCGTCTTGTCACAGGAGCATGCTAAAACTTCAGCTGTAAAGTGTTGATTTATCAAAATAAGCCCTTTCCCAACTATTCCAGGGCCGCACAGTAGCTTTTAAGTGTGGTAGCAACACCAAAGTCAGCAGCAGCAAGCCATCTTTCAAGCCAACTTTTACAATTGGAGCCTTAACAGTGGTAGAGTCAAGTTGCCAAGTTTCAAGTAGAGCTGGTGGTTATCTTGGATGTTGTGCTGAAGAACACAGCCACAAATGATTTTGCCAAATATACAGTATTTACTTGGTCCAGATCTCTGATTGCTCTCTTGGCTCTCTGCCAGCACTCAGTGAGGCCTGACATCATTTTAAAGTGCTGTACAGTATCTCTGCTCATTCTGTATGTGTAGGTGGTGTGAGGAGAAGGTTTTAGAAAAGGGGAAAACAAGGTCTTATATTAACAGAGAAAGAATGCATGAGAATGTATTTTGTTATAAAACCAAATTCAGAATCGGGTATCCATCACAATTCCAGCATGATTCTGACTGTTCTGTATTGCAGTTAATTCCTGGCTTGAGAAAGACAGATAGGTTCCTTTTCAAATGATGGCCAAATCCCAAAAGGTAAATTTTCTCAGCTACAGTGTTTCTACTTGCTCAGAAGTGAGTATTTAAATGTCTCAAATTTCAAAAGAGAAACATGTAAAATATCAGGAATTTTCAATTATCTCAGGGTTTTGTTTTTTAAGGTTTTGTAATGGTGTGTTACATTTTAGGAAGTTCTAAGCCCAGTATTTCACTGACAGTTCCAAAAAAAGCGATCATTGCAAGTAGGCCTGAAAGGGGGAAAACTGGAAAATGAAGTAGGATAAACATAATTGGTCATAAAATTTGTTTTACTGAAAATATGGTACATTTTGTAAGTTAATAGGTGTCAAAAGATTCTTTTCTTAGATGTCAAAGTGCCTGCCCTCATGCTGCATTATTTTAAATTCTTTCACTGTATTGAGTGCAGTACTCTGCAGATTAGATGTCAAAAAATACATGATTGAATGAACTTGTAGACTGGGTAAAGTCACTTAAATTTAAGTGAATTTTAAGCTATTCCTTATGCAGGGAGGAGGAATCATGTAGGATGTCTAGCTTTCAAAAAAAAAAAAGTCCTTTAAATTGAAATCTTTCATAGAGATAAAAAAAGCAAAAATTTAATTGTTTGCTGCCAGGATATTTTTTAA